CTCCCCCGGGCTGGGCTCTGCCCGCCGCCCCAGCCCCGCTGCCCGCTCGCTCACTCACCCCCGGCCGGCGCGGTGTCGGTGCCCGCCGGGCCCCCGGCGGGGCGAGGCTGCCGCTCGCCCCCGGCCCGCCCGCCGCCCCCCGGCATGGCTCGGTTGCGGCCGCGGCGAGGCGAGGCGAGGCGAGGCGAGAGGCGAGCCCGGAGCCCGCAGCCCCCCGCCGCCTTCCTCCGCCTTCTCCTTCTCCGCCGCGGAGCGGCCCGGCACCTCCTCCCGGCCGCGGGAAAGGATGCGCTGCGGAGCCGCGGCGAGCCGAGCCCCGCCGGCAGCAGCGGGCAGGGCTGCAGCAGCCCCTTTTGTGCCGCCCTCACCGCCTGTCTCCTCCCCCGGCGCGCCCGCCCGCCCCCCCGGGCCGCCGCCGCGGGCCGCCCGCCCCCCGGGGCACGGCCCCGCCGCCCCCCGGCCCCCGCACAAAGGAGCCCCGCCGATGGGGCCGGCGGTGGGCTATCGGGCGGGCTGCGGTAGCCAGTGCCGAGCCAGGCGGTGCCCCCCGAGGATGCTGCGGGGCCGAGGCAGAGCTGCCCGCAGCCCCGCGGCGGAGCCGCCCCCTCAGCACCTCTCCCCGCGGCCCGGGGGGCGAGCGAGGGCGGGAGCGCTCGCTGCTGGGCGGGAGGGAGGCGAGGTGGGGATGGGATGCGTGAGCTGCCTTGCCCAGCGACATCAGGAAGTTTTGCTGCGGTGCCAGAAATAGAACCTGCGTCTGCTGACTCCCGGTCGTGCACCCTAACCGCAACAGCTACCGTTTCTCAGTTCAACTTTTCCCTGCCTTCTTCCACACTGGGCCCATCTTTGGAAAGGAAAACAAAGCCAAGCCAAACCAAAACACCACCACCCCCTCTCCCCTGGCTGAACGGCACCGCTACAAACGTGCCGAAACACGGCCGTGGGACCTCACCCCTCGCAGCCAAGAGCGAGCGAAAGGTCAAAGGAAGCAGCATCAGAGTACACCCTTCCTCGACATTTCATGGGAATTTGGAAAAGCAGCACATTACAAACAAAGCCTCGGTGCCAACGCCTCTCCAACTTGCCATTTATCATATGGGCACTCGGGGCAGCTCGCTGGGGAGAAGATGAGAAGCGATTCCATCAGATTGCTGCCACCTCTTCTGAACACTTTCAGTATCCCAATGGGGATGCACAAGAGTCTGCCCTATGCTCTGATCTGGCCAGCACCAGAGAGGGTTTCCATGGGAAAGAGTCGCCCTAATTTTGAGTTTTAAGGCCAAGATGGAGAACGTGTCAGAGCTCAGCCAAAGAGCACAATTGAAGGGGAATTTTCCCCGATGCAAACTCAGCTAGAAGGATGAGTAAAGACAGCCAGAGGTCAGCTGGATTCACAAGTGCCTCTGGAGTATTGTAGAAGTATTGAGGGAAAGGAATGAGGACACAGGAGGAAGACAACGATACAGCAAGGGAAGTTCTCACGACATGAAGGAGGTCATTTTGTGGCAGACAAAATACTGCACCAGCACAAGTCCTTGAGGATGCTGAAAGGCTCCACCTCCATGACAGCAATATCACATTGGTGAGAACACACTGGGAAGACAACATCTCCTTCTCTGTGGGTCTGGGATGAAGCTGACAAGACTATGCTCTTCAAGACAGTCATGGGTTCCTAGCAGAGAATTGGGCTTGAAGGGAGTCCCCAGCTCCCACATCCCCCGGAAGAATTTGACAGCCGTGATTCAACTCGCATTGAGTCCAGACTCCTTTCTTTTTTGGTTTGTTTTATTTTTTTTGAGATGGCTGGCAAGTGACAGCATTAGCCTTGCGTCTGTAGGTGATTTCAGCTCTGGGAGTATAAATCCTATTAGGGATGAGCAGCCATCACCAATTCATTTCCCCCAGCCAGTGAACACCCATCGCAGAAGGGATGGTTGGCACTAATGGGAAGAAAACATCACTGTTTCAGACCTCCTTTGCTCATAAAACATTATCCCTTTGCTTCAAATATTACCCCTGGGGTGATGCGAAGACAGCTAACACTTTTCCATGTTAATGTGATAAAAGCGAAGGCTTACGGGCTCAGCCAGAGATTGCAAATGTTCAAGAGCATCAGACCACAAACCTAGAGGTAGAATAACATCCTGTGCACAGAGAGACATCTGCAATACCACAGCTCCTCGGTCTTGTGACTGTGTTTGCCACGCTCAGTACTCCTAACCAGAGAGACAGGCTCCTGCAGCCTCCCTGAGGTGTCTGCCCCTCTGCTACGCTACACAGCAACGTGAAGGGGAATGTGGGATTTTAGCTTTGCCTCTGAATCTTTGTGTGAGGAAAGACAAGATTTTGCTCTTCTTTCCTGAGCTAACCCCAGAGCAGAATGATGCAGAAGGCTGTTGTTTCAGCATGTGCTAGTACACTGCCAGGTGCAACAGCATGCTGGTATCTCCTTCACACCAGTGCAACTGCATCTGTACCTCCTCTGAAGGGGGGCCTGGTTTTCAAAGCCACGTGGTTCTGTGTTTGCAGGTCCAGACACAGAAGCTGGGGGTTTTATATATTTTTACTAAGGGTGTTATGTGCTTTGATGGCACCAGAGTGAGGCTGTAGTCATAGATGTAATATCCAAACACCTCATGATTTCTAATTTACTCAATTATCATCCCTTCTCCCAAAGGTAAAACCCCAAACCTTTTGGAACTTTTTTACATAAAAGAAACAGAGGATTAGAAAAGTTATATGATTTGCTGGAGGCCAAACAGAGAGGTTGTGGTGCGGCAGAAAATCGACTGTGGATCTTGAATTAGCACCGCAACCATTGCTGTTTGTGGAGTGTTTTCTCTCTGTTTTGTGTACTTCGGTTTGAGGCGTGCTGGACAGGCTCCCTTGGGATAAGGAGTCATTTTTAGCCCGATTCCTTACAGAAATTAAGCTCTCACAATCATGGTGTCTATCTGCCTGTCTATCATCCGCCCACAATACGGTTTGAATCCACTGGCCAATTTCAACCCAACCCAGCAGCAAGGAAGGGATTTTACAGCAAAACAATTCAGATGAGCTCCGTGATGAGCCAAAAGAGGGGAGGGAAGAGAGGAAGGAAGAGGATGCTCATGTGTGCCTGTGGGTTGCATGGCATCCAAACACCACTTCTGGCATGGCATGTGATGCTTCCAGCCCTTCTCCGGGGCAAGAGAGAGGGTTTGAGCTCAGGTCGATGTGTGGGGCTGGTAAGGCCAGGAAGTAGCTGAGCATTTCTGCAGGGATGTCCTGGGCATGCAGCAACCCCAGGCACGAATGTAGCAGAGATGATCATCCTGCCGCTGGCAGAGCAACTCCTGCTCTCCACGCTCCCTGACGCCCCGCTGGCTGCTCCTCCGGGGAAAACAGCCGATTAACATATGCAATGAGTTAACCTTAAATGGTCTAAAAATCCAAATGTCTGCATGCAAATGAGTTCTGATGGAAGCAGCAAGATAAAACACCAGCCAGCCACAGCTGAGCCTGTTTACTGGCTGAGACACTTTTGTGTTTGCAGCTGAAGCCCAGGTGGTGCTCTCAGCCCTGTGACAATTTGCACCTCCCCACTCCATGTGTCTGCCTTGCCAGGTACAAGGCTTTGAAGCAAAATATTGTTCTGTGTGTTGTTTGGGGTTTTTTTCTTAAGTTTCGGTGGCCATGATCTGTGCCATGCCCTGTTTTCTTCCTCTTGGGCAGTGCCAAAAGTGGATGGTGTGGGCAAGAGCCTCCAGGCAGGGTGTCAGGCTTATGTTGGGCTTTACAAAGCCAGCTGAGCTGGTAGCTGAAACCTGCCAGCCAAAGGCAGGGGATGGAAGGGCCCTTCTCCATCACTTGTGGGTGAACCTGGTTTGAACCCAAGGGGATGTACTCAGTTGCTATTAGGTAACTTTTCTTCACCCTGTGGTTAATGCTGATAAGCGATTCTTGGTCTCTCTGTGTGCGAGTCACTGACATTTGGTTAACTCCTTCGCACTGAGTTACGGAGTGGAGTTAATGGTGGCAGAGCCAAACTTTCACTGTCGCCCTTTCTCCAGAAGATCCCCAAAAGGTCACGTCTTTCCCGCCCCCCTTTGGAATTAGAGTCCTTTTAATGCCCTCTGGAGCTAGACTCTGCAAACAAAGTCCTTCTTTGAGCCAACCAGTCCTGAAATCCGATGCCCTTGTTCATTTTGCACTGCTGGTGGCAGGGAGGGAAACAACAAAGTGACATTTCTATCAGACACAATGCAAACGGCATGAGACAATGATATTTATCTCCTCCTTGAGCGCTCTGAGGCCTTTTATCCGAAGAAAATTACAGTCACGGGCAATCAGCATTTCCAGCAATCAGGCTGTAGTTGAGCAAGTGGGAAGATGAACAAGTGCTGGTACAAATACTCAGGGACTAACCCTAATAGCAGGATCCGCCCAGAAAAGATGCCTTGCGTGCAACAGAAACAAAAAAATGCCTTTAAACTTGCACTGGTGTTAAGTAACATAAAACTTCGCCAGATAAGGACTGTTTGCTCTCATTTAGGGGTTTCTGGCAGCCCTGCTCCCCAGATTATTTGCTGAAATGCAAATAGCATTTGGCTATTTTTCAGTTTGAAATCTTAAAGGCAAAGAGATTGAATTTCATCCTCATCTACTACAGAACAATTCTGTGCAGCATGAAAAATCCAGTCATTCTGCAGCTGGGAGGGCAAGGGAGGACAGTGGGCATGGAGACAAAGAGTGTTTGCTGCCACCAGCATCCCAGGTCAGTTCACACCACATGTACCTGCTAATGGCTCTCCAGCCTGCAAACTCCTTAGCATGGAGCTATATTTTGTGGTAGAGTTTCAGACCACAAATCTGTGATGTATCAGAGCTTCCACCACTGCCTCTAAGAACAGCAGAAATGTAAGTAATACCAAGTCAGTGATGGCTTGTCAGAAAGGTGAAGCAAAAATTTGGTTTGGCAGCAACTGAATATGTTTCAACATAAGTTTGATAAAATGCTCCACTGTAAAAAAACAGAAATAAGAAAGTGGTTTCAGAGACAGCTCTGCAGCAAGGCAGAGGAGTCTTTTAACAGCAATTGAATATAAGCAGCTCAGAGCACTGAGAATCCTGATGTCA